TGAAATAGTCACTGCTAAAAATCAGAAAGCATACAGCACTCCGCAGTGCATGTAGTAATTGGCTGGGTAGGTTCTGATTGGTACAGGGACTGATGGGTATTAGCAAACTGTTGTGAACACCAAAATCACGATTACTAATCCTGTACTTAAGTGAAAAAAGAAAGAAGAGAGATGACTTACTGTGTCAGGGTGGTGATTCCAGAAGATGAGCCCACAGGCAGGGGACCAACCACGCTGCTACTGCCTTACATTATCAGGGCAGCGATGCCAGAAGATGAGCCCACAGGCGGGGACCAACCACACTGCTATCGCCTTACACTATCAGGGCAGTGATGCCAGAAGATGAGCTCACACGAAGGGACCAACCATGCTGCTTTCGCATATCAGGGCAGTGATGCTAGAAGATGAGCCCAGGGGCAAGGCGCCAACCACGCTGCTGTCGCCTTGGAAGAAATAAAAGAGAAGATGGCATTATTTATCCCTCTGTTCTGGGGGACTAAGTTATGAACATGCCCCCAAAAGAGGTTTTAAGGCAATGTCCCAACGTATGGCTGGGGTAAGCCTGAAAGAAGCGGCTTCAGCCATCTGTCATAGACTTATGTACTAATGTCAGCCTAAGCCAGATGATTTGGACAAGGTCAGTTGCCAAATGTACAAACAAAAGAATATACCCCAGGACTGCTTCCTGTTTGAAGTAACTGAGGATTTCTTGAAGCCCATCTGAACTTAAACCCTAAGAGAGCTGGGGAATCCACATCCCCCTTCAACATTTTTTCCGGTATCACAGCAGTGCACATTTTCCACAAGCCTTTGGGTGTTTTTTATAGTATCTCCCCACGGTCCATTCTGACACAATTTTGTGAAAAACAAACATAACTCTCTCAAGCAGCGTCCATTTCTCCAAAAAATCTGGCATTGGACAGCCCAGTTTTTGTGAAATTCCCCCGTCTCAGTGTGATGAGCTGGTAAAAGTAATGCAACTCTTTTAGGGTTAAATTCAGAAGTGCCACGGCCAAATGTACCTGCATGAATTGATTTCTAAGCAGACGGCAAACATGACTGCAATGTGACAGTTTTTCTACCTGCTGTAATCTCCATCCACTGTTCTTCTTCCTCATCACTGTCACGGTCGCTGTCACCGGAGTCCTCACTGGAACTTGAGTTTCTTCTGCGCTTGCTTCTGCAGAACAACAAAATGGGGATAAAAAGACACACATGTATGTCATCATTGACTCTGTCAGTTGATTTCAATTTTGAAAACACGAGACAGGTGACCTCACCTCAAAAAAACCAAAATTGAAACAAGGAATAAATTTCTTTCACTTTTTCTATTTTCTCTTTTTGTTTGAAAATTTTGGACTTCTTCCTGCTTCTATCCTCTGACATCAAAGAAATTCCAACAGATATAAAAAAAAAAACTTTCAATGTCTTTTCTGAGGGGACACTTCCATTATATTGTCTAATTTTGAAACTGGACCACCAATACTAAGTTTTTGTATCCAACTGGTACTTTTTTGTTATCCAGAACATTTTCCTAATTTCACTGTCTGTGCTACGGCTAACGTCAGAGTCATCTTCATCATTCTCTATGTGGCCAAACTCATCCAAGCTACTGGAGTCAAGACATAACAATTACAAAAGATCATTCAAGTAGCAGGACAAAAGGACAGCATAGAAAGACTATGGTTCTTGCGAATCTTCCCAAATCCTAAAAATCCTCCCCACAATGGGACATTCTCCAAAAGTCTACAAAGACATCAAGTCCCTCGTGAAATCAAAGTGGCTGGGCTTGGCTCTACCTTCCTCAATCCTGCTATATCTTCCACAAACCCCCCTGGTGG